GTCGGTTCGAATCCTACTGAAAGAAGTCTGATGAGGAAATGTGGTGATTTCCGAAATAGCTATCACTTCTACAATTTTTTCAAATTATTGTTGCTTTTACACAATAAATTTTCATTAAAAAACGGCCTCGAGCTCAATAAAAATTGTTGAATATAATTGTTATAAGGCCAAAAAATAACAAAAAAAAGTAAAAAAAAAAATCGTAATTAAGTTAATTTGCTTATGACATTTTTTAAATGCCACAAATTGTGTCATGTTGTTGTTGTTGTAGCGGCTACAACAACCCCGCCTAGATCGGTTGATATCTCAATCGTTGTCGCCGAGTTCCACTAACGGCAGCCCCAAGCGTGCAGGCTCTATGGGGTCGGTCCACAGGGACGATGCCGTTAGGGTTGTAGGGTTTTCCGGGCATGCGAAGAGATGTTTCGAGTCGTGAGGGGTCTCTGCGCATGCCGGACATTCATTCGGCACATCCGCGTTTAGCCTACACAGGTAAGAGTTTAGCCTGCTGCAGTAGCCAGAGCGAAGTTGGGCTATTGTTGTTCTAGTCTCCCGAGGCAAATGGAGCTCCGTCGCGTCAATGTCCGGTGTTTTTGTGCCTAGAACGGCATTCACAGGTCTAGAGTCTACATAACTCGAGACTGAGTCCCTGTGAATGCCATTCAGGGCCTGTCGGTATGCTGACGGGTCCATAGACTGCTTAGTGAACCTCTGGACTTCGTCCGTCAGTTCATATGGATGCCTCCTGACGTGCCTTGGCGAGGGCTCCTCTGCAAGCAGCTGTCTGTTTGGGTGGCCACATCTGTGGCTCCCAACCAGAAACTGCTTGCAGTGCATCGTGTTATGCTCCCTAATTGGGAGCATTTTCGCCTCATCATGGAGGAGGTGTTCTGGTGACATCAGGAGTCATCTTAATGCCTAGTGACTTTAGCGAAAACAAAAAATTAAAAAAACAGCTGCCCATATAAAAAATTTAAAATTCGTAATACCTGCAAATCGTAAATTACCTTTGGTAGCCGTCGATAACTTTTTAGATATATTCATGGGCGAACAAAGAGTTTTTAAGCGCTCAAGATCCAACAATCGTTGTTTCGTATTTGTTTCTACGGTAGAAGCGACTTTAGATATGAATCGTCTACCAGATGCAAGAGTCATGTCGCGTTTAAAGTCTACTGACTTCAGCGATATATTTTCAGTTGTTAATGAATTCATTATTTTTTTATCACGTTGATGTAGTTTACCTGTATAATAAATTAGAAAGAATGAACATCATATTAAATAGGCTCAAGAGAAATTCAGTAGCAAAAATATGCCGCAATCATTCATACTGCTTATATTTTTTACCTAGCAGATTTGCGTCAGCTACATTCCGATAACGTTTTACGTTTTCTGCGGTCCAATCCGTTTTTCTGTAAGCCCTCTTAACATGAAATAAGCAGAAATCACCTTCGTTCAAATTTATAAAATTCTTACAAGGCTCGCCACTTTTTTTATGGGATTTGCATTGACCTAAATCCTTCGACTTTCCTAAAATCATAACTTTTTTTGCAGATTCAATAGACAGGGTAGCGACATCATTGCTATATAATTTCTTTTCAATGAAAGAAGGGTTAAGAATAGCCACACACATCCCTGTGGGAGTTTTCCACAGTTCATTGTGAGCGTTTTGAAACAAGCATATGGATATAATTTTTAAATCTCTTTTTAAATCAGACAGCTTCCAAACCGAAAAAGGCTTGGAACTTTTCGAAGAATGCTTCATTTCCTTAGATAAAAGCACACCCGCGACCACCCAATCATTTGTGGAATCTTTAAGGAAGTACATTGGAAGTTCATTAAATGTTACAGCTTTCCGGTTAGCCATTCGTTCTGTCAATAATATGCTTGAGATTTGAGGATTCATAATGCGAAAACCGAAAATTGGATCAGTAAAACTAAATACTGTTTGTTCTACTTGTGGGGTCTTTCCATCGACGTGTTTATTTTTATTCAGAACCCCATCATATATGTCCAAGGATGAATGTTTAGATGCATGATCTCCATATTTAGTAAATTTCCGCTCTAGATAAAACTCCACGTTATCAAAATCGGAGGTACACAAATCCTCTACTTTATTGTTCTCAAACACGTCCGATACATGCCCATTCCCAACTTCCGCCAGAATAGCGTCTAATGCTAAAAGTTCTTCATCAACCTCATCAATGCAGTCTTTTTCCAGCTTCTCCATCACAATATTTCAAATAAAAATAGAGACGCTGGGTTGAACTATTCTGTACTCGAATAGGCAGGATTAGGAAATAAACGATACGAGTGAATAAAGAACATACTCGATAATTTTCGTTAGAAACAAAGTAGTTTTCGTAGGGACCTGTCACACGGTCAGTAATTATTCCGATATTTGGATCCCGATCCATATTGATGGATTGATGGATCGCGCTCGAATACTATATACTCAGTATTTATCACGTCAGTATTTGCATAATTTTTGTGCTGAACGCTTATTATGATGCAAGAAAATATTTTTATTTTGTATGAATAATTTGCAGATGATGCATTCCACAATTATTTTAAAATTTCCCATGTTAATTAAAATTTTTTCAATTTGTTTTGAAAGGTTTTAAGCAACGAGAACGAAAGCATAGCGAATACGTTTTCGATGTTCGCATTATGAGAGCACAAGATGTACTGACGAAATATACGGATCGCGTTTTGAAAGTGCTACACGATCGCGATCCAGATTTCAAATTTTTTAGGCACATATTCATAGTCATATTTAGTACTCAACTAAGGGCCGTTTGCACCATGTCTAGTTAATTCTAACTCCCAGTTAAACATCTTTATCGACGTTATCGACACCCATCATATAACATGTGATCGATAAAGCAGTTAACGTGCTTAACTGAAGGATGTACCTCCAGTTAGCGTTAACTAGACATGGTGCAAACGGCCCTAAGTCGAAACTATTCTAAGTCACAACTAAAGCTATTCATAGTCGCCTTAGTTTCGACTTTTCTGGCTAAGTACCAGCTTAAAATTCAGTTTCGGCTGCAGCTGCAACTAAGTCGTAACTAGGAAGAAGTATTTTATCAAATTACGGGGAAACAGATGAAATATGTAAAAATTAAGTTGGTAGAGGGTGATTTTGATAATATTGAATAATCTCCAATTAAAATTTACAAAGGTCGATCCATTTTAATCGGAAGATGAAATTAAATGCGTATTACAATTAGAATAAAGATACTTCACAATTTTATAATTGAAATAATTTAGATAAATTCTCAAATAATAAGTCAGTTTCACGCTAGTTCTTTTAAAGTAAATTTGTGCATAACATTAAGGGCCGGTTGCTCAAAGCCTGGTTGACACTAATCCCTGGTTAAACATCGTTATCGACGTTACCGACACCGTGTTATATGCATGGAGTCGAAAACGTCGATAACGATGTTAACCGATTATTAGTGTCAACCAGCCTTTGAGCAACCGGCCCTTAGATATCTACTATTTGTATGTTTCACAGCATGCTTTCGATAAACATCGACTTCACATCACTGCGGTTGTTCTGGCTATTTCACACAATTAACAAGAAAATTATACCTTATTCTTTTGCATAATCATGCAATGATAATAAAAATTACATAAACGGATGATCAAACTTGACATTATTTAATAAAAATGTAATTTTTCCAAAATATCGTAAAGAAAAATCGATACATTTTCACACTCGTTTTGCTATATCGTAAACTAACCGCCCTATTCCCACACCACTGACAAAACTCAGCGGTTGACTATTGCCTTTACTACTGCGCCTAATACTATGCCGCAAACTTATTTTAAGCTGTCGTATGACAATTGTCAGTTTTATTGTTATGACCTACTGAGTAAGTGACAACGGCGAAACAATGTTTATATTGTGTTTTAGGCGCAGTAGTTGTTACAATAGTCATATGATGAATTTTGTCAGTGTTGTAGGAATAGGGCGGTAAGTCTCCTCAAGTCTAGCCCAAAACCCTATCTTTCATTTATTATATAGCTTATATCTGGGAAAACTCTTGTTGTGGAGATATTTCGATTCAAATTGAAAAAAGTCGCTCCAAATAGCGACAAATGGTTAAAAATTCGTATATTTGGTTTCTTTAAGTTATCAACATAACATATACCCAATTATCCGCAAAAAGCTGTCCAATCCCCGATTGTCACCAAAACCGAAATTCCCTGCAAATCGTGGGAATTTCCCTCGAGTTGACTTCTCTGCACGCGATACATAATTTGTAGGCTGTGTATGTCGTTTTCTGATTCTTATAGAAATCTCTTTTATTTTTGCTGGTTTCTTTGTTTTCGTCTGGCAACGTTCGTACTGTGCGGTCACTTAAACTTTCGCTTGAAAGAATTTCCAAAGTTTAACTCGTTTACAAAGTGCTAAGCAGTTCTAATTTGTGTTATTCACACCGTAAAAAGTTTACTGAAGCCAAATTCCAATAAATTGACTTGATTTAGTCATAAAGTGCGTTGATTGAAAAGTTTTATTTAGTCGGCCTTCGTGCATATTTGCCTGTTTTGGTGCATTATTGTTGCTTTTGCGTGAGAGTGTAAGGAATATCACATTTGTTTGTTCATTTTGCTTTCTTTCGCGCTTTACACACACCTTTGTTTATCATCGACAGTCGCTTTCTTGGTGACAGCTGATTTTGTTAACTCAGTGGCTTTAAAACTGTTAAGTTCAGCACGGTTTCTAACCATTGAACTTCACTAAATAAGACCACTAGCTATTAAACTGCCAATTACTGTGAGCTTGAAACGTTTTCGTACAATACATTCCTAATTTCGCTATTTTTATTCTTTTTTAATAAAATTCGCTAAAAATGTCCTGTCTGTTCGAAAAATGTAATGTAAAAGCCGGTTCGGACCGTTTTGTGGCGTGCTGGCTTTGCGATGAACTGTCTCATTTAAAGTGTGCTGGTATTAATGGGAGAGTTCTGGATATGATTATTGGAGACAATGGACTTCGCTGGTCATGTCCAAAGTGTAAAAAAACTGTTGTGGATCTCTGTAAACTATTTAGAACCGCTAGAAATGGATTTTCGGAGATAAGCAAAGAGCTAAAACTGCTCAACGAGAAGTTCAAGAAGTATGAGGATGAATTCAAAGAATTTAAATTATTAGATACTTCCTCCTCCTCTCCTTCTCCTGGAAAAGGTCTTAAGAGACGTAGGAGAGGCGTGGAAAATATTGTGTTGAATCCCATCACTGTGGACCTGGATCTTCCGCAGAACCGCCCACTTTTGACTCCAGCTATGAACAAAGAACTCATAAGCTTTAACACACCGATTCCTCGGCGGACTGAATCTCCCCAACCACGTCCTTCTTCTACTGGAGCCTCACTAAATTCCTGTTCAACAGCTTCATCTCAACCCTCCACCACATCTGAAGCCATCTCCGATTGCGTCAACACCGTTCCAATGCAAGTAGTCGTTGCTCCTTCCAAAAACTCCACAACTACATCTCAACCCCCTACCACATCCGAATCTCTCGTGATCTCTTCAATCAATTTTTGAACGATCTGTCAGATCTTA